TTTCTAACATCGATTCCCTCTTGACGACCTGATCCGGAGATCTATGAAAGCAGAGGTCCGTCCGTCCGACGCTGCCGAGGAATGCACGCCTAGTCCAGCCGCCACAATGTCCCTGCCCAGGCTGCTCCGCGGGGGAGGAGGGGCCCTGGTCGCCGGCCTGCGAGGTTGCGGGACGCGGTCCGCGGACACTCCGCGCTCCGGACGCCTACGCGTGCTGGTCGACATGGACGGCGTGCTGGCCGACTTTGAAGGTGGCTTCTTGAAAAAGTACAGGACGCGATACCCCCAGGAGCCGTCCATCGAGCTGGAGGAGCGCCGAGGATTCTGGGTGTCTGAGCAGTACGAAAGGTTGAAGCTGGGACTCGGCGTAAGTAATCGGGTTCTCCTATCGATACTATAAACAGATCTGATTTACCGCTGCACCCCGGGCACAAAAAATTAATTGACATATATCCCTCTATAGCCACAAAGGGTAGAAATCCACTGTGTGTGCACCAAATGCCTCTGCAAACCCAGATATTACCTTTTAAAAGTAGCAGTGACATCATCACTGTGCTGTACATACCCTGTGCAGAGAGCAAATCCGTTGGAGGGGCCCAGCAGGCTCCATCAACTACTAAACTACAGGAGGGGGCGGAGACAAGACCAGGCACCCTGCACAAGGAGAGAGAGCAGCAGTGAGCGGTCTTATTACAGTAGGGGGCGGAGACCAGACCAGTCACCCTGCACAAGGCGAGAGAGCAGCAGTGAGCGGTCTTATTACAGTAGGGGGCGGAGACCAGACCAGTCACCCTGCACAAGGCGAGAGAGCAGCAGTGAGCGGTCTTATTACAGTAGGGGGCGGAGACCAGACCAGTCACCCTGCACAAGGCGAGAGAGCAGCAGTGAGCGGTCTTATTACAGTAGGGGGCGGAGACCAGACCAGTCACCCTGCACAAGGCGAGAGAGCAGCAGTGAGCGGTCTTATTACAGTAGGGGGCGGAGACCAGACCAGTCACCCTGCACAAGGCGAGAGAGCAGCAGTGAGCGGTCTTATTACAGTAGGGGGCGGAGACCAGACCAGTCACCCTGCACAAGGCGAGAGAGCAGCAGTGAGCGGTCTTATTACAGTAGGGGGCGGAGACCAGACCAGTCACCCTGCACAAGGCGAGAGAGCAGCAGTGAGCGGTCTTATTACAGTAGGGGGCGGAGACCAGACCAGTCACCCTGCACAAGGCGAGAGAGCAGCAGTGAGCGGTCTTATTACAGTAGGGGGCGGAGACCAGACCAGTCACCCTGCACAAGGCGAGAGAGCAGCAGTGAGCGGTCTTATTACAGTAGGGGGCGGAGACCAGACCAGTCACCCTGCACAAGGCGAGAGAGCAGCAGTGAGCGGTCTTATTACAGTAGGGGGCGGAGACCAGACCAGTCACCCTGCACAAGGCGAGAGAGCAGCAGTGAGCGGTCTTATTACAGTAGGGGGCGGAGACCAGACCAGTCACCCTGCACAAGGCGAGAGAGCAGCAGTGCACGGTCTTTATTACAGCAGGAGGCAGAGACAAGACCAGTCACCTTGCACAAGGAGAGAGAGCTGCAGGCTGTATTTGCCTGCTCAGTGGATCAGTGGGTACAGCAATGAGGGGTGTTAAGAATTCCCACCTATCCAAAACTAAAAAAGAAAATTGGGCTCTGGATACACTGTGACTATTTGATGTTTTGGCTCTGGATAGACTGTAACAAATTAATTTATATTTTGCAGGAGAAATCGATTAGCATTTGGGAATCAAAGAACTTCTTCTTAGAATTGGATCCTATAGATGGCGCTGTGGAGGCCGTGAAGGAAATGTCCAACTTACCCAAGTAAATGTGCTTTAAGCTTAAAGGAGAACTCCGTTCAGAACCGCTATTTCAGTGATCGGTGGGCTCTGGTGGCTTCCATCAGCTGCCAGCAACCTTTTAAAGGTCCACTGATGTTGTTGGTCCCTTGCTGCAGTAGCTGGTTTGCCGCCATGTTTTTCCAAAGCCACACCAGGGGTATATCTCTCACTGACCAAGTGAATTGAGGGGGGTAATTGGTTATGGCCACTGACCCTTAATGAATGGGGAGAGAGCAATTGTTTACTGCCGCTGACCAATAATTG